AATTATATATATATATATATATATATATTATATATATATATGTGCAGCATATCTTCATTCAAACATGTTTCATTAAATAATATAGACATATTGTGTCTACTTATTTTTATACTGATCCTTTCCAGTTGTCTAATCAGTTCTTCATTCATCAAGGAAGGTGCCATAGATTTTATTAACCCAAGTACTTTCAATCTTTTCCAAGATCATCTTCAGGGGCAAATTACAAAGACAATTATTGTATGAGATAGTTCGCATAAGGGTCTGAGAATTCCATGAGACTTACTACAAAGTGATTTGGAATATTGATGATTAGGAACCTCATCTATTCCACAGGGGTAAAGTTCTTTACACTTCTAATAAAACAACAAGGGAATACAATATTTATCTCTTAATCCAATTGAGGCAAATGTTTGAGCAAACTATTTTTCTATTTCAATGAATTCTTTTCTTTGTTCAACCCATAAGTAAATCTTGCTTCGATAGTATTTACTATATTACAAAGAATATAATCATGTGTGTGTGCTCGCTCATTCAAACTTCTACTAAATTCTATTTTTAGAAGAGCCAGATCAGAAGAATATATCTGGGCTGGAGCAGCCCACTCCTCACTTTTGAGCCTTGAAATAGTTCAAAAGTGTCTACACAGCCTTTTGAGTGATGAATTATTTCCACTCTGCAACCTCTTTCCCACAGATGTAAACATTGTAAGCCTCTCACTACTCTTGCTGTTTCCCTGGCAATTACTCTGACTACCTACATTCATTAGTTCAGACCTTCCTAGCTAAGACCCACCATACTCTGGTAGGAATCACCCCCATTCCCTTCATATTCCAGCAGTTTAAAAAAAAAAAAGTTCTTTTTGCACAGTTTCTTCCTAAAAACCAGTACTCTGTGAATGAGGCTCCTGAGAGGATGCTTCCTCAATTACTACAATTTTAACCTCTTTATATCTCAGGTTAACTGTTATCTTGCATATCATAATCTGCATTTCTTACTTCTTACATTTAGTTTTATGGTCATATCACATTGAAACACTGGTCCCTGTATGATCATCAAAGTTAAGCAATACCAAGCTTGGTCAAATGGGTGACCACTTGGGAATACTAGGTGCTGTAAGCTTGGATGTGTGAATGTTGTAATGATTTGTTAATCAGAAAGCAGAGTTCCAATTTCAGGTTTTGTTATATTCACTTATGTGCAAGTCCTCTTGGGAAAGGTATGAATCCACCTTTTCTCTCCCCAGCTATAGGGTTAATTAGTAAGACTTGTATCAGTAAATCATTATTGTCTCCCCACCCCCAAATTTTTTTACAAGCTAAAAATATTTTCTGGCTTTAAATAACTTGCAAAGGGTTTTTAAGCTGTAGAAAATGACTTGATCCTCTTACATTCATAAAACAATCTTTGCTCAAGATATAAAATTACTGAATAACTCTTGGACCTTGTATTTAAAATAAAATAAAATAAATAAAAAATTAAAATAAATAAAAATTTTAAAAAATCAGATGGAATCTGCAAGATTTGAACTTGTAACTCCAGGAATAGAAAACCTACAATAATTTGTGTCTATATCTAAAGTTGCTTTTCTCACTTCATCAGAAACAAAATAGATCAGCACAAAACATTTATCCAAGGTCTTTGCTCATATACAGTGAGGATAATATGAATTTGATTGCGCAAAAAAAAAAAATGCTAAAAATCAAATCTTTAATGTGGGTTGAATAAAACTTCTGTTGCTAAAATAAAAATATGAGTTCAAGAACTCTGCTATACATTCTTGTTTTTTTGTGCAGAAACTCTCTCTCTCTGGGGTTATCAGTTTAGCTGTCCCCCCCCCCCCATTTTCCAGCCTATACTTAGTCTCTTTTCACCTTCCTTGACACGTCTGTAGATGAAAAATGATTCTGGTTTTATCTGATTTAAGTCTGTCCTGGTGAATGTGTGGGTGATGTGATGGTTAGCAGCTTGGAATAAGAAATCAGAGTACTGAGTTCAAATTCCAGTCAAGTTCATTACATTCATTTATGCACAAATTACTCTTGGGGAAAGATATGAATCCATCACATTTCCCTTCAGCTGTGGGTTAAATAATAGGACTTGTATCTGGAAAAATCATTATTCTCAAAAAAAAAAAAGAAAAAAAATAATTCTTACAATCTAAATGTTTTTGCTTTAAATAACCCACACAGGGTTGATAAGCTGTTAAAAAATTTAATTTCCCCTCAATCAGTATGTTCTGTCTTCACTAATTTTATGACAACTCTTGGCCAATAATCAGTCACTTATGTGCCATGTGTGATACATGCTTAGGCAATCATGTATCTTTTGATACATGACTGATGAGGCAGATTTTTTTCTCCACAGTAGATCACCATTTCTTTCTGTGGTAGACCAGTTGCTATCCAAGGCTATAGAACCTAGTCTGTCCTGCTATTTGCCCATAGCTTGGCGGAGAAGAGGAGGATTCATACCTTTCCCAAGGGTATTAGGACATAAGTGAATGTAATGGATGTAACTGGAATTCAAACTTGGCTCTCCGATTCCTCAATCCAAGCCATTATCCATTACACCACTGTGCTTCCAATAATACCTACCCAGATTTCTTGTGTTTCAGACTATTTGCTGTGGAATCACCAAGTTATTCCCATCTGACTCCATTCTTAGTGTTCAAGCCCACATATGTTAAGACTTTAATTATCTGCTTCTGTGTGGTAAAATTTTTGAGGGTGTTGCTTCCACAGGTTTTTTTAAAGCAACCCTTATCCATTTCTGGATGCCTTGACATTTGAGGCTAGTTTGGGTGACTATTACTACAGAATACTGTCTTTGATCCTTACTGCCCTATACAAAAATTTGACATTAAATAACTCAACAAGGGTTGATGTCACAAAATCAACCAATCTAGCCTAAATTATCCATCTGTACAAATTTGTATTGGCCCTTGATGGTTTTTGATGAAATGTTTTATCTTCATTAAATAACCTTATTTTAAGACAAGAATTTGAAGTAATTTTTTTTTTTTTTTTTTTTTCCAGTAAGGAATTGTGAGAGAAAGTTTTTTTTGTTTTCTTTGTTCCTAATTGTGGAATTGATTATAAAATCATAGTTTAAGTTTGCATGGTCAAGGAGACAGAGGTTCAGTCTAGGCTTAAAACTCTGGTTCTTGCAGAATTTATGATGCAAGACATTTTCCTTATCAGATGTAATATCTGACAATAGTTGTTTTCTCTTAATTGCTTTGGACCCACTGACAAGATATATTGAAATTTCTACATCCTGGATCTTCTTACTCTGCCAGTGAATTGGATCGTGATTCAAGACAATTTCTTGATAGTGATGAAGCCAGTAAAAGTAACAATTTTTTGGAGTTACTGATGAATATTTTGCCACTATGATTATTCAAAGTGTTTCATCTTTCTGATTTTTATTTTACTCTGGTGAAAGGATTTTTAGGCAGTGAATACAGTGGCCTATTTACTTTTTAGAAGTTACATGTTTTTTAAAATGATTTTAGTTTCATTTGTTTGACATCTCGTATGAACAAGGTGAAACATTCATCTAACAAATGAGAATGATGCAAAATAAAATTTAGGCTCTTGCTATCGAGCAAAGACAAATCTGGTGTAGTGAGTTCAATATTCATTGGTTTTCTCCCTATTCTAACAGTGGCCAGAATAAACTGTTAAAAAACTTCTTTTTTTTTTTTTTTTTTTTTTTTTTTAAGGGATTAATTCTTAATACCTAAATTACAAGAGATAAATTATTAAAAAAAAAATAACTAACTTGGTTTATAAAACAAAATCTGTTTTCAACTGCTACCTGTAGATCACCCACACCCTAATTTTTCTTAACTTTCAATTTTGGCAGCTACTAACTCTACCTGTATTTACAGGTAAATCATGGAAGATACAAACAAATTTTTGGAAAGAATAATTTTAAAAAAATAAAAAAAAAAAAATAAAAAGAGGCAAGAATAAAAATAAAAAAAAATGTATTTAATGAGATTGTGTTTTGTTTTATTTTTATTTTTTTTATTTTTTTTTTAAGATATCTGAACAAGTTGTCATTTTTTTATCCCATAAATGTTGTTCATAATTTTTGTAAATTTTTAATTTTTTTATTTTTAATGCCTTAAAAACAAATATAATTTTTTTCTCTTTTAGATCATCTTTTATTTGCAATGATTTAATCCAGTTTAAAATTCTTACATGAAATTTAATGTGTAACAGAAAACAAAAGCATCCTCTACTCAAGTATCATTTAAAAAAAAGAAAATTTATAATCCTTTTCTCTTTTTTAAATTAAAAAAAATTTTTTTTTTTTTTTTTTTTATTCATTTCATTTCCTTTTCTTTTTTTCTCAAGAATTTTTTTCTATTTTTCTTTTCAATTTAATTTTTTTTCTTTTATTTCTTTTTTAATGTAATTTTTAATTCATTTATTTTCTATTTTTATTTATTTTTAAAAACTGATCTACATTTAAATGTTCTTTTTCAATTTTGTGTTTCTTCTGTTAATTTTTTTTTTTTTCTCTTTTTACCTCGTCTTCAGAATCTGACTCCATTCTTTTTTTTTTTTAAGTCCGCAAGAAATAAGGAGCTGGGGGAGTATGTTTAGTAGGGTGGAAAAAAATTTTTTTTTTCTTTTTCTTTAATGATAAAGAAAAAGGTTTTTTCCATGAGGCAGAACTTTTTCTTCTTGAACATAAAATCTAAATTAGTCAATGATGGCTTTGTACAATGCCACTCTTTTTTAACACTTCTCCTTATGTGGATACAGCATTGTAAAGAGGGTTGCTTTGTTGGCTTGGATAAATTTGACATTTTCTTTACTTTTATTTTGTATGATACTGACGTTTACCGAGCTTATGACCATATCATGTTGAAACATTGGTTCTCATCTGAGTACCAAAGTTGAGCAAAGGTCAACAGGCTTATTAAGAAGTCATCAGAAATTTGTTTTCTCTCTTCATTTATCTGAACTGATTTAAGCCAAAACAGCATGTCCAGGTTTCATTTTCCTTTATTTTTCTTCTTTTTTCATTATCTTTTTTCGTTTTTCATTATCTGTTTTTCATTATCTGTTTTTTCGTTTTTCATTATCTGTTTTTCATTATCTGTTTTTTCTTTTTTCATTATCTGTTTTTTTCATTATCTGTTTTTTGTCTTTTTTTGTCTGTCTTTCTTTGTCGTTTTTTTGCTTTTGTCTTTTTTTTCTTTTTTTTTTTTGCTTTTTAAGAAAGCAAATTTACAATTGATTGGGCTAAGGTTTCATCTAAACTCTTCCTTTATTATTATTATTATTATTATTATTATTATTCCACACTCAGTACCTTTTCACAAATTAGACTTCTCAAAAAAATACAGAGGGTTCCTGTTTGAGAGGATAGGTTTTCCCATTGGAGGAAGATGCTGCTGTTGTATCAGTCCTCTACCCCCACTACTCTAAACAGAATCCTTGGACTTGTTCCGTAACATCTGTTCTGTAGCGGTAGTGTGACTATAACTAACTTAGACAAGCTAAGACCAGTGGCCCAAGTGGAGGCACTCGGGTCCCCACCTTAAAACAAACTGACTTTGTGTCACATCCTGACTCAGTGGGGAGTCAAAGTTGAATACCCAGAGGCATCCTGTTTGCACTCCTTAACAATAATGTACTTTCTTTTCTTTTTTTTTTTCTTCTTTTTCTTTTTTTTTTTTTTTTTTTTTTTTTTGCAACCCTTCCTCTTCTATGGGAAAATCAGTACTTATTCTTATGACTGCAGTCCACACTGAAACTCATATTGCCAAGATATTTACTTGGCTGAAGAGAAAATTCTTAATTAAAAATTTGAGCAATGAAACCTGTAACTCCTATTCTGTAAACTACCAATCAAGTACTTGTAAAATATTCAATATCTACAGAGCATAATCTCTTGTAATTTTTTTTTTTTTTTTTTTTTCGCCCTATGTATGTTTGAGTTTAAAATGATGGATTTGGCTCTGTGTGTTCCTGTTAACTCATAGAAAATACAATCTTTAACTCTTGTATTGCTCTTTTTCACTTTTTGTTGATCCCCCACTCCTGTATGTCAAGGTTGGCTCTGGAGGTAGCAGCACTGCTACTATTACCTGGGCACATAAGGTAGTTTTGAGTGAGTGCTTATGCAAGTTTCTCACCTGATTACTTTCTTAATCATTTTCTATTGTGACATGCCAGTAATAACATATTTTGTCCAGATATCTGAGAGACTGACACCATTAGGGTGTAGTGAATTCATGTCATTTCTTAAAAAAAAGAAAATGAAAAAATGAATTAGCATGCATTGACCCACGAGCAGCCTCCATTAAAATTTGAGGTCTGTTCACACTCTATTTTCCTCCGTTGGTTATGATTGTGCCACTTACACATCCCAACAACACTTAGTCACCAAGCAAAACCTCCAATCGACAACCTAACCAAACCATTTAGCCTTATTTTTAATTCAAGCCAGCACAAAATGGCAGGAGATTCCAAACCCAAACCAAATGTACTATAGATTGTACTTACCAATACAATCTGCAGTAATTTAAAACGTCATTTTCAAGGTCTCCTGAAAAAAAAAATCTGTATTTTTTATGTGGTACTAATAAATAACTAATAGTAACACCTATCTTTCAAATATTGTTTGAGTGAGAGTAACATGATAACTAGATTTTAATTTTTTATTTTTAACCATTTTGGAAAACTTGATGCAAAATCTTAATTTCTTTTTCCTGTGTCTTCATACACTGTGAATCATGTGGATTCAAAGGAATTTGTAGATGGGGATGAAGATAGACAATGCAACAACTGTCTTGAAATGATAACACAATATTTTATTGATAGTCATGCAAATATACCTTGTTCTAAAGTGGTTAAGTAAATATTAATTTTTTTTTTTTTTGTGTTAAGACTTTTTTAGACTGCGATCTTTTACCAAAACTTTGGGCCCCGCAGCCTTCATTGTTACCCTCTCCTTAATTTTGGTGGGGAGTTCATATTTTCTGTAATGTACCTTTTCATTTTCTTTTTTTGTTTTTTAAAGTAATCCACTGGAGATTGTTTAATAATTGTCATGGGAGTGCTTTTTTTTTTATTTACTTTTTTATTTTTTTATGCTATAGAAGAAGAAATTGTTGACTTCTATCTTAGTAATAGACTTAAAAAAAAAAACTTACATTGCCTCTTGACAGCAACTTAGTTATTTGTTGAAATAAATCACATCTGACTGAAGGCCACATTCAATGAGCACTCATTAAGAACTTCATTCATTATTAATGATTATGAAATTAATGAGTTTATTGCTCTATAATTTTATTTTTTTAATTTTATTTTTTTTTAACTTTACTGTTAATATTTTTTTAATTTATTTTTATTTTTTAACTTTGATTTAAACAGGATGCTTGGATGCATCACAAGGAAAGTTTCAATTTAAGTTTTTGTATTTTTTAATTATTTTTTTTTTTTTTTTAGTGTGAAAAAAAACAAGTATTAACAGTTACTTGTCATATCCCCACCCCCAAAAAAGGTCCATTGATTTACACATACTCTCTCAAAATGTTCTCATCTAGACTTTATACCCAAACTGACTTTGTTTATCTTCCCTAACCCCAGATCTTTTTCTATTAATCTATTATTATTATTCAGCCTTTTTTTTTTTCTTCCCGTCAGTCTGTATATATACAAACTATGATCTCATTGTAAGTAAAACACTATTAATATACGTGATTTGACTTGTTTTTCTTTTGTTTTTTGATTTCCAGTTTATTTTTATTTTCTATTCACTTTAAATTTCTGTTTATTACCATTTTTTTCATGTGTATTATTTTTTTTATTTTACTAATCATTTTATTTTATTAATTACTCTTGTCTGACTAATCGCTCATGTGGGCAATCAAGGTGAGGAAAATCACTCTAGGAAAGTTAACAATCAGAGAATGTAAAATGAGTAGTGGTAAAAGAAAAAAAGTTTGTGTTGGATATTTCATTCTTGTTCTGTCATACTATTTTCTTCTTTCCTGGTTTTGTTATACCATTCCTTTTCTTCAACAAAGTTCAATGTCTTCTCCGACTCTTACATTGTTCGACCAGGTAAAAATCATCATATCTCGGCTCCTACCTGCTGGTTAGAGACTCTGCACATAAGCTCTTCCAAGTAATGTTGCCAATTGCAATACTCACAATTATGGCAGATATCCCCAAGTTATCCTGGAAATAGTCCCGAATGTATGAAACACAAAAGGGACAAGCTGTTGCTTGGTGTATTTCTCTGCTTTGCCCTGCTATGTCTTGGTACCTTTGTATTTTCACCTGTCGTGCTTTCACGACGTTCTTATCCAAAAATACTGCAATGTCTATCAGGATCCATTAATGCCTGCTTCCTTACTCACGTGTGACATCAAGGCGAATAGCTCTCCAGTTAAAAATGGTCGTTATAAATCTCCCTCTCTTCCCGTATACGTCTCCTAGGCCCCGTTGGTCTAATCTCGAGTGTGCAACTGCGGGTATGTCTGACTACTCGTCTATCTGTCGTCCCGGCCCGTCTCTGCTTTATCCTCAAAATCGAACTGAATTTATTCATAATTCTCCGCCCACATATCAAACTGTTCACCCGCCAAAATAACTCTATTTTCCATTGTTTAAAGTCAACCCAATGTTTTGATTTTACCCCCTTTCATTCAGAGCACCAAAACATATTCGGTCTGACATGTGCGTCAGAAACGAAATCAAGAACACATGTTCTGACCTGTCCAATTCGAGGTCACACCTGGCCTCTCAACAAATATTCCTACCTAAGGAAAATTAATAAATTAACGCACACCAATCCATTTCAAATCGTTGCCTTGAAATTAAAAAACTACGATATCTGCCAATAACAAGTTACCGTGTTATAGTCGTATCTCACGTGAGCTTCACTTGCTCATTGTCGTCTGAATGTGGTGAATGCTCTTACCACTCTGCTCACTCGAGTACATACTTCCTGTATAGTTCCAGTGTACTCTGTGGACTATTTTGTCATAGCGTCATCTGTACTCTTTTTGTGCTAGTTCAGTGTAGCCATTAGCAATGTGTTGTGCACTTTCAGTAACTTTCTTACATATACTCCGCTAGTGTACATTAGCTGTTCTATCAATAAGCGTACTTGATGGAATTTCTTCTTACAGCCTGATCTTGTGCTTACGGCCACATCATGTTGAAACGCCTGTTCTCGTACGTTCACTGAAGTTAAGCAACATTGAGCCCCATCAGTATCTTGATAAGTTACCGCTTGGGAAATACCAGGTGCTGTGAAGTTTGGATGTGTGGGTGGTGTAATGGATAATGGCTCAGAATTGTTAATCAGAGGAGTTGGGTTCGTTATATTCGGTTATGCACAAACCACCTTGGCAAAGATTATTATCCCCCCCACCCAAATAAAATTGCATACAAAATATTTAGATTTTGGCATTAGATAAATGATAGCGGTTGACATGCCGCTAACCAACCAATGAATTACCTGCATAGTTCTCAATGTATTTTGAGAGCTACTTTGTCGCACAATTTTCCTACACGGCCTTCATGAGGATAAATTAGCTGTTCTACCAATAGTGTACTTGATGGAATTTCTTCCTATAGCCTGATCTAGTGCTTATCTTCGATTGTCTGATGAAAATCTAAGCATCAATTTGTCAATTTATTCTATCATTTCTGTTTGAATTTCTGAAATGAGAAGTTATTATAATTTACATTCCGATTATTGTCCTCATCTTTATTGTTGTTATCACAATATTTTGGTCATTGTGCTCCTCGGCCTTCTTCTAGGTAACCTACAGAACATTGTTTACGTGGGGTCGATTGATCTCCTTCCATTGCTCATGTTACTTCTTATTTTTATTTAGTACTAGTTCAGTTATTACTTGCCTATTTAGAGTACACACTACCCGACCCAGCAATTGAACTCACAATCACTGTCACCAAATTCATAAACTAACGCTTAAGTCTACTAGGACTTGTCAGTAAATCATTATTCTATTTTTGGATTTCTATGTTTAATCATCAAAACCAAATTATTCTAACAGCTGCATTGTCTTCTATGCAGAGGAAGCTCTTTATTATAATCATGGATCAAATAATCATCACTGCCCGGCTTTGGGTTTAAAAAGCAGAATACACTTGGCTTTCAAGCCGTGTGTGGTAGCATGTCTAGGAAGATAACTTTGAATTCAAAACCATAGAGAGGGCAATAAGTCACTGGAATTTACAAATAATAATAAAAAAGGAATCTGGAGAGCCGTGATTGTCAACCTTCTGAAGAGATATGCCATTAAACTGAGCATATAATCAGTCAATTCCAAACATTTAGCATGAATTTTAAATAGCATTTCACTGAGCAGTGGTTGTTACTTAGTTGCATCCATTTCTCACAATTTCTACTGAAATACATGATATTCGCAACAAAGTCGTTTCATGCCTTCCTAGTTGTGAAGCATGCACAAAATTTCACTAAACCAACTCTGCACATCCAGTATATTAGTAAAATCTAAATAGGCAGAGGAAGTCAAACTGGGATCATCTAATGGCGGCCCAGGGTCTTTTCAGAAGATGAATCAAACAATATAGAAACTGGAACAATTCGCATTTGTTATAAACCAATATTCCTCAACCTTTTCTTCCTTGTGGCCCATTTTTGATGTCGAAAGTGTTTTTTTTTTTTTTTTTTTTTTTTTTTTTAGGCCCACATAAGCAGAAATAGAAATTCCATGTACCAGGAAATAAATTTTATTTACAAAAATGTAGCAGAAAATATAAATCCTGAGTAATGGCTACACTATTCCTGGTGTCTATGAGTTTGTCATGTTGAACTTCCAAGCCTTGGTTCAGCTTTAGATGTGAGTTTTCTCACTTTTCAATCTGTATCTCCAGGGCCATTTTAAAAGTTGCCCCGACATACTTGTCGACCTAAGGGCCCACGTTCAGAATCACTATTACATCATTAAAAAAAAATAATAATAATTTGTTGATTTTAACTTTTCAAAAAATTCATTTATAATAAGTAAATGGGACAGCGAAATCCGAACGCACTTGGAATAATGAAAGATGCCTCCAAATACCAAAGTAAGAAACAAAGATTTCGCTAGAAACAAAGAAAGAGTGCTGAATTGTTATGTAGTATCAGTCGTCCTATATGGCAGTGGATGCTGAAGAATTTCCTCAAAGATGAAGAAGAGACTTGAATCAACAGAAATGGGGTTCTACAGAAGGATTGAAAGAAAGCCATGGACGAAGCATGTAAATAACGAAGTTTTTAAGGAAAATTGGAAAAAAAGGATTTTTTTTTTCTTTTCTTACTTAGAGTTCAAAATTCTGGAATGTATAAAGAAAGAGTTTCGATATTTTGACACTAAGAGGACATATTGAAGGCAAGAGGAACAACGAGCAACCCACGTAACGTGCTTGTGAAAATGGCAGAACAGTGCATGGAATCGATAGTAAGGGTACAAAAATTACTACAAGGATAGGATGTTGTAGAGAGCCATTATCATTTCGTCATGAAAAGAAACGGTACATAAACGAAAAAGAAGGAAAAAATAATTAAAAGCTAAAAAATTATTTGAAACAAAAGAAAAGAGTGCTGAACTGTTATGTAGTAGTGATTTTCTAAGAGTAGCTTAGATGTGGCACAAGGCCTAAAGAAGGAGGCATCCAGTGAGGATCGAACTCACTACTCAGTCGTAATTGTTCTAGCGAGACACGCTTGCTAACCATTACACCTCCTCGGGGTGCCCATGAACTGTTATGTAGTAACATACATAGGTCCTCCCTCCTCGAATGCTGGACAGATGAAGAGAAGACTGGAGACAGCAGAAATATGGTTCTACAGGATACCAAGAATTCCATGGATGGAGTGTGTAATCAACGAATATGTTTTAAGGAAAATGGAAACTATTCGTACTCGGAATCAAAAAGAGGCAGCTGAAATTTCTTAGACATATAATAAGGAAGAAAGGTTTGGAAAATTTGACACTCGCAGGGTATCAAAGGCAAAAGTTATAGGGGGAGGCAGCAGAACATCTACCCGACAAGCAAGTGTGAATGGATGTCCGAACGGGGCCTGGCAAAGACACAAATGTTGTCAAGAGTTACAAGGGATAGGAAGTCGTAGAGAGCTATGAACTGAATGATAAATGAAAAAAAAAAACTAACAGATTTCATCCTTCAGCAGATTAAAATAATGTTCTTATTGATGGAATTATGTATATGTGTGTGTGTCGGGGTGAAAATATAAAAATATTTTCTAATTTATACATCAAGAGGAAACGTTGAAGAGATAGGGATTGCTGAATTTTAAATTTAACTTTGTAAATTACAGAGCTCTGATATAGTCGATACGTATAATTCTTTGGGTTCGCCTTGATTTAGAGCAGGGTTTCCTAACATGGGTAATATCGCCCACCAGTGGACGATATGCTACCCTCCAAAAAAAAATATTAAAAGGAAATATGCAAAGAACTTTTTCTTTCAAAAAAAAAAAGCTGGAAGCTAAATGGGAATAACTGAGTCACATTCCAAGATATAAATATTTGGTATTTTCTATAGTTTGAGAAGAATCACTAACATTGAAATAGTTCTTCAGATGAAATGACTTGTTTTTTTCTTCATTTTTTTTCCGGATATACGTCAGATAAGGGAAGACCAAAAACATTTGTGCCAGTAAAATTAGGAATTGACTTCAGGATAATCTTTATTTAATTAATTTATTAATATAATTTTCTTCTATATGAAAGTGGGCGATGACGCAAAAAAAAAAAGGTTGGGAAACTCTGATCTAAACATAAAGCTTAGCTGCCTTCATTCAGATTTAAAACACTGTTACCTCTTAATTACTGCTGTTCCCAGGTGCTACCTGACACGGGGTGGTAGCACCTGTTAGGATCCCAGCTATGAGCAAATAGTGACCCCTCCCCCTCCAAAATAAGCATTATGAAAGTATAAAAATACATTTTAAAAACAAAATGACCAACAACACAATTATCAATAATACGTTTTATAGCAGAATTACCAGCAATACATTGTATAGCAAAATGACCAACAATACATTTTATTTGTAATTGAAGGCATACAATTGTATTCAAAATATATTTAGCTGAAGCCATAAAATTGTGTTCAAATTGTATAGATTTCGGTATTAAATAACCCATAGAGGTTGATATGCCACTAAACAAAATCAACCAATGCTGTTGTTTCGTCTTTATTACCTACCGTTAGTCTGATATATAGAATTTTTATATCATATCTCTCCCATAATTCATTTATAACGAAATGAGACACAGGCATACAAAACCAGTTCTCACATTATCATGCAGTTATCACATGCGATTATCAGATATCGGTGCGACCAGAAATAATCATGTTTTTCTTTTTTTTTTTCTCATAGATTAAGCGTTCCAGATCATCACAAATATCTAAAAATAAATAAATAAATAAATAATAAAAAAAATAAAATTGTTCAATTTTATAAAAGTTAATAGTGGGTGGGTTGTCAGTCTGCTATATAACTTCATTGTAAATTGATCCCCCTCCCCCGCCAATGCAAGCCAAAACAAATATGTCCATAGAACGTGTTTTCTTTAAAAAAAATGTTTTCAAATTTATAACCCGGAGAGCGTAATACAAATGCGTGTGAAAAAGTAATGCAATTTGTTTTATTATATAAGAAATAAGGAACATAAACATACCATACATCAATATAGGATGTGCGTTGTGGTGTAATGCAAATCGTCTCGAAGTGAGAGCTCGGAAAGCCGTGTTCGAATTCCAGTCAAGATTGTTAGATTCACTTACGTGCAAATACTCTTGAGAAAGGTATGAATCTTCAGCTATGTGTTGAATAGCAGGATAAACTGGGTTCTTTAGCCTTGGTTGGCAACCAGTTTATCGCAAAAAAGAAATGACAACCTACAGCGGGAAGTTATGTATCGAAAAGATACATGGGCGCCCAAACGTGTATCACGCATGGCACTTAACTGACTGATATCAGTATACAGCTATACATCACAGGTTCACATCCCTACTTCTCAGCATAGTCACCACATCTCTCAATGTCAGCGTTTGACACTACGAATGAATGCATGTATCCCAGTTTTGTAAAACTAAGATGGCTGCTTGAAACAAAAGAAACAATCAGCATTAAATAAAATATTTTTCACCACAGAGGATGGTATTCTAAAATGTGTATAACAGTCAAAGGCATATAAAATAATTATAATACGTATAAATATTTATATATTTATTTTCGCTGTTGTCAACTTC